CCTTTCTGAATCTTGCATACATTGTAAAGCAAAGTCATGATACCCCTGTCAGCTTTTAGCTATCAGAAACCCCAGTTTGAAGTCAAGCCTCTGACAAGTGCACAGGTAAAACAGATGATAAACTCTTTAAGAGTAAAGACTGTGCCTCTAACTTCTCGTATCCCTTATAGCAGTGGCCCTAAAACTTTAGTGTGCATTAAAATCATCTGGAGGACTTTGAAAAACACAAATTGCTGGTCCCCACTCCCAGAGTTTCTGATTCAAAAGGTCCAGGGTGGGGCCCCATAATTCACATATCTAACAATCCCTTAAATGCTGATCACGAACCACATTTTGAGCACCAATGCCTTACAGCACAGAACACAGAATTAGGCAAAATAGACCTGGCCAATAAACATTTGTTGATTAAACTTAATTCACATTGAAATGTTTTCTTCCCCACCCTAAATCTGAATATGAACTGATATGCTGGTAGACTAATTAGATGAAAGAATATAGTTGGTAATATCAATTATCTGATGGTGACACCGCAAGGAAAATAAACCAAAAGTGTCATTTGCACCTCAGCATTATAATGGTGACAGTGATGGACACTATGACAGTGGTAAAAATGACTCAAGTGAGTACTTTTTAGTTAGGCAGAAAGAGAAAGGTGAAAAGTGGAAAATCAAGAAAGAAATCTTAAGTAAATGGCTTGTATGGTTGGCAATAATTTCTAGGACGAGACAGCAGGTGGTAGATGGAGGATATAGGTTATATATGGTTCAACAGAACCGAGATTGAATCTAGACTGCAATAATGTTAGCAGTATGACTTTTGGCAAAGTTACTTATTCTCCCTCATTCTCCATTTCCTCACCCGTGACTCGAATAATAATGTCTATTATGAAGATTAGAGTGGCCTGGAAACTGTGGTTTAGAGCAATGGTTCTCAAACTATCATGGTCAGAAAAATCATCTAGATGTTCTTGTTAAAACATAGGAGCTTACTAAAAAACAGATTGCTGGATTGCACTCCCAGAGATTCTGTAAGTCTGGGATGGGACCTGCAGATCTGCATTTCTGATGGAGCCAATTCTCAGACTGCACTTTGAATAGCAGCAGGGCAGCAATCCACATCCAGTTGCCACTAAAACATTGCACCAAGTAGACTGCTCAATGTATATATCAAGTACATCACTTTCCATACTCGGTCTTATGTTGTAGTCATCTGGGCTCATGGTTTTCAACCTTACCAACCAACCCTAAAGCAAGAATGGTGTTTTGTTCCTCCTTATACCACACATAATGCCTGGCAAAGTGTTTTGCTATGCATATGTGTGTGTGTATGCATAACATATGTTGGTATTAATACATAATAATAGAAATAAACTGCATAGACAGCAACAGGAACATATTTGTTTATTTATTTAGGTTTCTTTTTCCTCAAATCTCTGACCTCTACCAATCTATTTCATGTGTGAAAATCCACCTGCTGAATTTCTTCAAAAATTAGCTGTTTGTCAAACTAAGTGTTATGTGATAGACAGCAATACAGAACTTATTAAAAGTGTTCTTACATATAAGTATGATTTGCCACCATGCCCTCAGTGAATCTCAGGCAAAAGAAAATCATCAAGTGGAAATTACGAGTTCCATTAGAACTGTAAACATTTTCCAAGTCCTTTGCCAGTCTCCCTTCCTCTACTCCAGGGGCTTCTATCCTCTGGAGAGCCAAAATGTCTTTTAAGTTCTCTGCATCTAATATTGGGTGGCATTTGTCAAAACATAAAGAATGAAAACTGGCTACACTACAAATTAAGCCAGTAAGTCACAGCACACTTAATCTAGCATGGTGCTCTGAAACACACACATAGTCCCATACCACCGAATGAGTGGCTTTAACGTAACAACAACAACAAAAAAGTGTGTGTGTGTTGGGGAGAGATTAGTTGGAAAAAAAGACTGGGGAACTTGTGACAAATCGGTCCTTTAAGATACACAGGAAATACTTAGAGGTTTTGTCTATTTAGTAAGTTAAACTGCAAAGCAGAAGCTCATGAAATGTTTACTTTGATACATCCTCCCAGTTCCTTCCCAGTTCACCACATCCCAGATACATTCCCAGAAGACAATCCAGTAACCCTAGAAGGAAAGAGAGCCCTTGAAGGTTTACAGCAGACTTCAAATTCACTTTCGAAGTCTCCATGCTTCTGGGATCTCTGAAGTCAGAAGCAATGAAACAAAGACAAAACAAGAGTTCTTCCACCTGCTTCTAGAGGCTCTAGAAAGTGGAGGTTTGAGAGAAGGACTTGACGTAACTTTTCTAACTGTTAGCGTGAATCAGTACTGGCAGCAATGGTTTTGGTTGGCAGTATTTATTAGTGATAGTCTTGGGGGTAAACATGTGAAGAGATTTTAACATTTGATTAGGCTTTTCTCTACACTTCAAATAACAGAACAAATTAGTTTACCTCTTTGATAGAAGTATCTTTACAGAGAGAAAAAATGAGATGCTTTTGAAAATTAGTTTTCCTCTGTGCCCTGAAGTTCAGAGTTTTGATGAAGTTTTATGCAGGTAGACTTTTTTTTCTTATGACCTTGCAAATTGGAAAAGAAAAAAAAAAACTAGCTAACCAGTTAAAAAAATATTTTTAATAAAGTAAAGCCCCCAAATTAAAATAATCCTTAAAATAGCTTCTAAAAGACTGTCAAACTCTGCATAAGAAAGTGTTCACATCTGTACATTAGTTGCTGCATCTTCAGGGTAGGACGGAGGCTTAGGACTCTTTAAATTTGGTTTATGAAGTTTCTTGTTTTTCTTTTTCTTTAAAAAAAGTAAGTTCACTTAGAGAAAATTAAGGCCGTCATTCTTTGAATTACAGTAAAAAACTATTTAGATAATATAATAATTAATAATGCTAGCAATTACACTAGTAATATAGCAATTCAGATATATAATAATAAGCCATTAAGATCTTTAATGGTTGATTGAATATCATTATTACGTTGAAGATGGACCCAAGTTTTAAATTTTTTGTTAAAAAAATTTTTTTCAACTGGGGAGAAAGGGAAAACAAAAAGGAATACCAGGGGTTATTTGGGAACAGATGAGACAGGAGTGAAATGTTAGGGTAAGAAGGTTTTAGGTGGTCAACAAGTAGTGGGTGAGGGCACTGGTATCCCAGCAGTAAAGAAAACAAGGTGTCAAATGGTAAAATAATGACAAAGAAACAGTTAATATAGCTTCAAGTTCTTCTGACTTTGGCAGCAATGACCTCCAAATTCTACCATGAGGATGCCTGAGAACTCTTAGAAATTTAGTCTGTATGTGTTAAAAGGAAACCTCTATTTCTATGCTTCTTGTTAAACAAAAGGTCTGCCAGCTCAGAGAGATTAAATGAGCTGCTCAAGGTTTTAGGACTGGAACCAGGCAGCATGATGCCCAGTTTGTACAAGCAGTTGAAAATTGGGAGACCAGTTATGACACTAATCCAGGCTGGAGGGGTGGCGGCTTGGACTAGAGTGGTGTAGGGTGAATACTGAGGAACCAGGACAAAGCTTTTTCATAGTGACTTCTCAGCCTGAAAGAAAACTTGGTTTCTCTTAGCCTAAGATACATGGGTTTTACATTTCTTTTACAGTTTTGAGGTTTTTGAAATCAGGGCACAGCTTAGAATCAATGTCAAAAGAGAAGCAGAAAAGGTGATATAGCTGTCATTGAACATGCATGTGCCAACACATACATCTCTTGGGAGAGAGAGTAGCATTTTAGAGTCTGGAGTGGCTGGTGTGACCAAGTTCTGTAACAGGGAGCTGGCTGCAAGGCATGCAGTGGCGCAGGGGACTAATGGAGAGGTAAGAAAACAAAGACTTAAAGGGTACTAAATCACCTGTGGTAAAAGATGACAGGATCACCACAAAGAGTGGCCATTTACAGATCTGTAAGTATTATTGGGAAAGTAATACAGAGTGCTGGTTAAAAATGAAGGCTCTTAATTTGGGCAAATGAGAAACTGTGTGGAGATGGATAGTAGCACTGGTCGCACAACGATGTGAATGTTCTTAATGCCACTGAACTGCACTGGTAAAAATGGTTAAAATGATAGATTTTGTTATTACATATATTTCCAACAATAAATAAGTAAATAAATAAATGGTAAAGCCTCTGGAGTCAGTCTTGTTGAGTTCAAATCTTGCCTCTGACACTTCCTAACTGTGAGCCCTTAGGTATTGTATTAACTTCTCTGTGCTTCAGTTTTCTCATCTAAAAATGGGGAGGTTAATGACATAGACCTCACAGAGGGGGTGAGGATTAAAATAATTAATATGTGTTAAGTGTTTAGAATAGTACCTGGCACATAATGAAGGTTCAAGAAATGATAAGTGGTTGTTATTGGTGGTGTAATTATTACTACTGTTCTTATTATGAGGTAAAACCATTTTGTTTTTCCTTTAAAGTTCCAGTTTCTTTCCCTTCTTCTTTTCATTCTCTGGTAGAGGTTCTAATAAGAAATAAAATGGTGAAAATGTGCGTAGAAAGAGGAAGAATAAGTAAAACAAGGGCCCAGGAAAATTAGTACCCTGTATAATCAGGTCTGGAATAACCAAGAATTGTCCTACATCAACTGACTATTTAAGTTCCAATTTCTAAGCAAAATTATGTAGGGTCCTTGAGCACCTGTGGAGATTTTCAAAAGTCCACATGTTTGGCCTCAGCTTAGACTGACTGACTCTGACTATCCAGAGATGGCACCCAGGTAACTGTTCTCCGATGTACCACTGGAGCCAGTCATCACACACACTGTGTACTTAGGGCCAACTAATTTTTGGTCCTTTATTTAGAAGAGTGCTACAGTGATCTTAGCTCACTGCAGCCTTGAACTCCTGGGCTCAAGTGATCCTTCTGTCTCAGCCTCCGTAGTAGTTATGACTACAGGTGTCACCATACCTGGCTAATTAAAAATTTTTTTTTGTAGAGGCAGCGTCTTGCCCAAGTTGATCTCGAACTCCTGGCCTTAAGTGATCCTCCCACCTCAGCCTCCCAAAGTGCTGAGATCACAGGCCTGAGCCACCACACCCAGCTTCGCTATAGTTTCTAATATCTAATATATGTACCCTTTCTTCCTTTTTTTAAACAGTGCTTGTCTACTTTGATTGAAAAGAAGGGCCATCTTCTATGTGCACATTTATTGGCCATTTAGAGAAAGTCCTGCTAATAAATCTTAGGACAGGGTGTGGTTTCTGAGTGTGGCTAGCTGAGCTCCTGCTAATTACCTTGTGAGCTTAATGAGAATGTAGTTCTGCGGCTTCCACCCCATTTTAGAGCCTCATAGACTACTGATAGATCTGTATGGCACAAAGAGATGTCTTATTTATTTTTTAAGCAGTGGTTTTTACTCAGTGAGCGGTGGTGGTGAAGTAGTCTGTTTTTTTCTTTTCTTGGTTGGGGGTGCCATTCTAATTTGTTCTGATTTCATTTTCTTGTTTTGGTTTAGGGCATTGGCATACTTTAAAGCTACCTTGCTAGGCCAGGGAGGTTTCTTCTCTTAGAAGTGCATCAGGAGGAAGGTTTTTCAGTGTGATATAAAGAGGTGGACGAAGTAGAGTGGGAAACAGGAAAAAACATGATAGTGAGACTCTCCTCATGGTTTTTCCTTGCATGATACTTTACCCTTCACCTCTCAACAGATTTTATTTTCTAAAATAGACTAAAAAAAAGTCTTTAGTGGCTTCCCATGACATAAAGGTAAAGCCCAGCGTCTGCAGTCTGGCACTGGAGCCCGCCTACCACATAACACACCCCTTCGGTTTCCTCCTATTTTCTCACCATGCACAGTTGAAGCCACATGCACCTGGAGCCCATCTTCCTCCCATCTCCCTGGTCCTCCTCCTCCTTTCTGTGAACTCCTCCAGCAGGAACTGTCTGTGCCATTCATTAGGACTGTTAGTCATGTGGGCCACATTTTAAATTAATGATTTCATACATGTGTTACCTCACTAACCAGGCTAGAATGCCCCAAATTGGAGGCTCATGGGTTGAATTCAGCCCACATGCATGTTTTGTTTGGCCCACAGAATGTTTTTGAAGAATCTGAATTAGTTGCCAGCGTTTTTAAAAAATCAGGAGATGGCACAAACACAGATCTGGATTTCTGATTTCTCTTGACAACTGGAAGCTCTGACAATGCCAGGCCAGCATTCCAGGATGGTTTCAATTGGCTGGAGCTGTGTTAATCACTGACTCTTTCTGACATGATTCCACTTTAGGACAGTCCCAATCACTCCTCTGTCCTGTGCCTGCCCCTGAAAGCAGTTTAAACCTACGACCTCTGAATTACAAACTACACCCTATGTCTTTGGAGGACAGAGCTTTTGTCTTTGCTTCCTCACCTCCCCAGAGCCTAGCACACTGTTATTTACATAACAGATGCTGAAAACTACTTCCTGAATGGAAGGAAGAAAGGACAGAAACCAAGAAACAGATGAAACAAGTAATGATCCAGGAGATGAGGCTACAGGAAGCCATGAGTAAGAACACACAAATGAAGCCTTTTTTGTTGCCTCAAAAAGGTTGTGACGTGGAAGACCTTGTGCTGTTACAGATTCAAATGTCATTGATTTGTAAAGTCCTTTAAGTAACAAGAGAAAATTAAAAGAGATAATGCATTTTTAAAATGATAGCTTCCCAGAAGCTAGATAGCAGAAACAACGTAGATTATCTAATGAGGCTTTTCAACTTAGCATACTTAACTGTGTCAAACAGTGAAGTGAGTCAGTCTGTCCTTTTTTTTTTTTTTTTTAAGAAAAACCATAAAGCTTTAATCCTTGCTTTGTAGTGCTGACTAGGTAAAAGAGGAATTACCCTAAAGGCAGCAGTCTTCATTTCATGCTGCATACAAAATCTCAAAAGAGAAACACTGGAAGAAATGCATGTTACCAAGGACCTTTTCCTGAACTTGAACCAAATGCCTTCTTCATGCTCTCCAAGCCGCCTCTCGGAACTCAGATTCAAGTGAAGTTAGAAGGTCAAGAAGAATGGGGTTCCAGAATACTAAACACATTGCTTGATGACTCAACCTTAAGTGAAACTTCACAGATGACACTGTGGCTCCAGAGGAGAAGTCAAGCCTTGACTCAAGTTCTAACAAAGGAGGCGATACAGCTTCCTCCTGCTACTGAAAGGCCTCTGCAATGTTACTGCTGAGCATAAGAGTCAGGAAAAGTGGGACTCGCTGATTGTCACTGCCTCTGATTTAAAAGGTGTCAGGTGAAGCGAGTTGGTGGTGAAGCCCTTGGGAATTCAGAGGAGACAAGAAGTGAGAGAAACTTTTCAACTTGTCTACTATGGGAATCTGTGTTTGAACTGCAAGTTTGAGGAACCAAAGCTGAGTAAAGCTTTAGATTTGGGACGTGAGTATCTTCAGCTGCTAGGACAGAGATGAGGTCACTCGGCTTCCAAGAATAGACATCTGCCTCACGTGACTATGTGTCAAGTTTTCTCTGCCTACCTGCAGAAGTGATCTCGTTTTTCATTTCAAAGAATTACAACTTAAAATCATACCCACTTATAAGCATCCGACTGTGCAAAGTTTCATTTCACAAGTAGGAACCTATCACAGTTTTTAAGATTCCCCAAGTCTAAGATTCAGTGTCCTGTGCCGAGAGGCAGGAGGGTACAGTGGGTAACGGCAGGGGCTTTATGGTCAGACATACAGGGACTGTAGTCCTGGTTCTGCCAGTCAGTGGATGTGGGACCCAAGGAAAGTCAGGTAACTTCCCCTGCCGGTTTCCTCACCTGCAAAAAGAGAATAAAAATGGTACATATTGCCTGAGATTACCTTGAGGCATGAGTGAGAGAATAAACACAGAACACTTAGCACAGCACCTTGCAGAGAGTCAGCCTTCAATATCTGTTTTCATCAAAGTCATTTACCATGTAGAAAGATTTAGATGGTCAGTTGGGTGACAGGTCATCAGGATCTTTGAGGAATACAAAAAAGTTGGCCTGGCATTGTGCTCACAGTTCTTAATTCTAAACAAGGATGAGGTCAGTGATCCTGTCAAAAGAACATGGGGTTTGAGTGATTTTTCCAGTAGCAGGGATAGGTTACGCTGAGCCAGCTATGCTCACACCTATGTCCTTTGTGATCAAATGCATGCATTTATCAAACAGTCAGGCAAGCAGAGGCTGCTCTGCATGAAGCCAAGTGTCCCATATGGGGCTCGATCCCACAGCCCTGGATTTCAGCCAACTGAGCTAACTAATAACAGATAACCAAAGGCACATTCCTTGCTCACAGGAGGCCAGCAGACTTTTACAGGGTCATGTCACGAGAACTTTAACAAGTTGCAGAATACAAAATGCATTTTAATATTACCCAAGAACATGTAATGTTTCAGAGTTTGGAGAAACCACAACTACTCTGTCCACTCCAATTTATTAGCAGATTCTACAGCCTGAGAGGATTGGGCTTTTATTGGCCTTTTTCCTTGATGATGTGATGAATAGCTGAAACTGACACACCTAAGGCTGGGTGAGCTCAGAACTAGAGATCACGTCATCTTTCCTTAAAGTAATACCTCACTGCATTCTTGGTTTCCTGTACAAAGATTAGATACTTAGAGAACACAGAGTCACAGAATATTACAACTGGAAGGGTCTTTAGAGTTATCTACTCCACTGCAGGGGCAGAGAAGCCATGTGATATGTAAAGATTATACAGCTAAATGTTGTCTCTGCCAGCCCCAGAGCTTCTCTGGCTCCATGTCAAGAGCTTTCCATAACAGTCTGCCTCCCTGAGCTAGCCCAATCATCAAGTTCTCTTATAGAGATACTCCAAAGTTGTGGGACAAACCACTTGCCCTTTTTTTTTTTTTTGTAATAGTCTGGAGCTGCCACCTGGTTGTATGACAATCCAAAGCAACAAGACATTTGTTTACAGTTGTCCATAAACTCAACATTAGCTGCGTTAATTGTATTACGGCAAGCTTGTTAACTATAAGCATATAAAGCCAGTAAGTGCTAGAAGAACTTCTCACCTAGATGCTAAAATGTTATTAATATCTCTATGTAGCTCAACTAGAATAGATGATGAACTTTTGTTATCTTTGTATCACCAGGTAATAAGTGTTCAGTCACTGTGATTTATTTATTTTGCAGAGGTACTTTTGTTTAAAATAGATATTTCTAGGTTATAAAATAAATTTCTAAAAAGCCTCCCACAAAAATGTAAAAAGTAGACGTGAGGTCTAGAATATTAAACAATACTTATGGAAGGATGCCTTGGAGAACTCTCACTTTTTCAGCTGGAAATGTGGGGAAATCCCGGAGCTAAGAGTCAGGCTTGGTTCCTAGCTAGGGTCTTGCCACACTCAGCTAGTAATAATTCTTGATACCCTACTATTTTTCTATTGTAAAATATACCTAAATAACTTTCTTCTCTACTCCCTGTCTTTTAGCCCCTTGAAGCTTCAGTTTAAGATCTTGGTACACCTTATCCAGCATTCAAGACCAACAACCCTTCTTTTGTCTGGTCTTATATCCTCAACCAGATTAATGAAGGTACGCTTCTCTGAATGCCTAGGGCTAAAATGTCTCTGCACACTGGAGTTGTCCATGACATAATCTATCCTATTAGAAAAATTAGGGGACTGTACACATAATCTTTGGACTTCTTGAGGGTAGTTATGAAAAACCTAATATTCCTCATATTGTGGAAAGGTAAAGTAACTTAACATAAACAAAAATAATGTGTATAATATTTAAACATTCTGAATTGTTAAGGCTAGAATTTTCTTGAATTATGTAACTATCTCTCTTTTCTAAATTATTGGGATAATCACAAAAATACCCTTTTTTTAGGAGTGTTTGAGGACTAAAGAACTAGGAAAGAAGAGATTAAAAAATATAAATATGAAAATAAACATATCAAAATGCTGGCTGTGTTATATTTAGGTGGTACACTTGAGTAATTTTAATTTTTATCTTTGCATCTTTTTGTATTTTTCACATTCTCTGCAATGAAAATAAATTACTTTTATAATCTAGAAGAAGCTCCAACAAACTTTAAAATAAAGGTAAAGATGAGATCTTTAGTATTTACAAATATGAGGGGAGACAAATTAGGTTTCTTCTAGCCTCAGATGGTGATTGCCATAACATGGTGATGTGTCCCGTGAATTCCTGAGAAGAGAATGTGGTCATATGGATTACCCAGTGAACGTGATTTTCTATGGGCTGGATGGACTGAGTGTGCCAACGGGTTGAGAATAACGTAGAACTAAGAGGGAGTTTAGTGATACTGAAGATTCTGAGCAAGGCTAGAGAGGCATTGTTCAGGATCCTGAGGTCAGTGCTTGAGGTGATAGTCTACTGAAACCCTATGAGTAAAAGAAGAAATTGACAAGAACAAGACAGAAAGAACCGGGAGACTCTGAATTGGGATAGGGGCTGCTCAGAGATGTTCTGAAGGGCAGACCATAAGGATGCTGGTAAAAGTCTGAAGCAGGAAACCTCCAGAAAGGTAGTTCTAACCTGAAGTCAAAATACTATGGGCTAAGGGGTAAAAGGTGGAGCATGGAAGCAAGATGACTAGCAAGAGGGGCCACAAGGGGCTTCACAGGCTAGGAAAGGGCATTCAAAAGCCTATGCAAGGGCTTGTGCTATGATTAATGAAACCCAAGCTTAAGAGAGTAACATCAGACTGAATTTGAAATTACCTTACACTTTCAAACATTTCAGTTCTTGCATTTAAACTTAACGGTAACACCAGAGATGGTGAAAGAATGGGAGAAAGACCATGAAATCCAGGGACATTATGATCAAAGGTATGCATCTCACCTCTGACCTTGAGGGTACTGGTGGAAACTGACAGAAGACAGTGCAAACCAGAAGGAAGGGAAACCAGTGATCTACCTTCCATTGCTCCAATATGTTCAGTATGGTTTCTCTGAGCCACACCGGCAAGAACATTCAGGTTGTATTCCTAAGTCCTGGGCCATGAGTGGACAGCTCAAATGCCAACAAGGGCCAGGCAAGTAACATAATGGAGAGATTCAGAGTGGCCCACAGTGCAGGCAAGAGCACATGCTTTGTCTAAAGGAAGAGTCACTCTGTAGGTCTGGCCAACTGCAAGAATGTGGACCCAGGGTTGCCAGATCTTCTGAATTTCCAAGAAAAGCCAGACACCTGGATTTCTTTGTGAAATCTATTATTAGCAACTAATTCATTTTCTTTAAAAAACCATCATGCAAGTCAAAGAAAATATATCTGGGGAGGAATGTGGTGCCTGAACTAGTTTTTGACCCTTCCTCTAAACCCCCTTCTCAGTACAATTGCAACTTTGGTTAAAGAAGGGATTTAAACATCACATATGCTACAAAGCACACAAATGTCCGACCTTGGGCCAGCCTTTACAACACTGGGGAAGCACGAGTGGTAAAAGAATCTGGGATAACATAGCTCTTCACAGCTAGTACTGTGGGGAGAATATTATACATGTTTAAGTAAGCCTAATGTCTGAGTATACAAAGAATGAAGTATAGAATTTGGGAAGAAGTTAAGTGTGAGTCACAGTCAATGCTTGAAAACACTTGGATGCAATTTACTTTTACTCTAATAATAACCTATATATGAATATTGGAGAACAAAACCTGGCCCTGAGGGGTAATTTTATAAAATGATACAGACTCAGCATGTGCTATGGTAGTGAATAAAGAATCGATTAATCAGGGTTTCTGTGGCTTTGGATAGATACAGTAAAAACAAATATCCACACTCTAACTGGATGGCAATCTCAAGGATGCTTTGTTGAGGACAGACAAATAGAATGCTCAAGTTCAGACTTTTTTTTTTTTTTTTTGAGACAGAGTCTCACTTTGTTGCCCAGGCTAGAGTGAGTGCCGTGGCATCAGCCTGGCTCACAGCAACCTCAATCTCCGGGGCTCAGCGATCCTATTGCCTCAGCCTCCCGAGTAGCTGGGACTACAGGCATGTGCCACCATGCCCGGCTAATTTTTTGTATATATATTTTTAGTTGGTCAATTAATTTATTTCTATTTTTGGTAGAGACGGGGTCTCGCTCAGGCTGGTTTCAAACTCCTGACCTTGAGCAATCCGCCCGCCTCGGCCTCCCAAAGTGCTAGGATTACAGGCGTGAGCCACCACGCCCGGCCTCAAGTTCAGACTTTTAAATACCCAGGCAAGTGGGAGAATGTGGCAAGATTCTTACTCCTTGTACCAGTTCCCCCCCCACCCCACATTTATGCACCTGAAACCTGTGAACGTAATTTATTTGGAAGTAGGGTCTTTGCAGATGTGTTCAAGCTAAGAGGAGGTCATTCTGGGTTAGTGTGGGCCCCAATCCAATGACTGGCATCTTTTTAAGAAGAGGGAACTTTGGACACAGATAGACACTGAGGGAAGACAACTATGTCAAGACAGAGGCAGATTTAAGTGTTAGGTCGCCACAAGCCAAGGAAAGTCAAGGGCTGCTGACAGCCACCAGAAGCTACCAAAGGCAAGGAAGTAGTCTTCCCTAGAGCCTTTGGAGGAAGCATAGGACTACTAACACTTTGATTCTGAACTTCCAGCCTCCAGAATGTGAGAGAATAAATTTCTGTTGTTGTAAGTCACCTGATTTGTAGCAATTTGTTATGGCAGCCCTAGGAAACTATGTCTTTTCAAGCCACTACTGGGGTAGAAGGCTTGCTATGGTGAATTATGCAATGACTTCTAATAATGCCCCAAATTGGAACAATATGTAGGGTATAAGACATAAAGGCACAGGAAGCATACTGTCAGCAGAGCACGAACACTCTTGTTTCAAGAGAGAATGGAAATAAGGAATGACAATTGGTAACTAAATGGAGAGCAGAACAACTCCAGAGGTGTTATTTTTTTTAATTTGTTTATAGAAAGAAATATTAACTCACCCAGGCATTCTCACTGTTAATACTTTCTCCTTGGCTTTCTATCTTTATTTCTCAGACCCTCCTTCTAATATCAGCCTAGAATGTCTAATCTGTGCCCAAGAAAACAAAGGAAAGGCTTCATCAGTTTCACATTAGGTTCAGTCATAATAATAACCACAATAATAACACAAGTGATTCTGTAAGACCTATCCTCCAATTGAGTATACTTAGCTCTAGCAGGACACACACATATGCTACTACCATCACCACCACCACCACCTAGACCTTGGAACAAGAGCTTCCCTCAATTTTAGTACACAGAAGTGAATCTCTCATACATGTGCCATTCACTGGGAAGGCTATGGCTCTGCATCACTCTTTGGTTGATTTCTGGACTGTGCCATATTTGCTCATGTAAAATTCCAGGAAAGTACATTACTACAGACCACATGTACCATAGTCTATTACATGGCAAGAAAAGCTTGAATATATCTGCTCATTCCAAGTGTGTATCACGAGTCTTGGTCAGTTCTGAGGGAGTTGAACTCTCAGACCACAAATTATGCTCATTGGTAGCTTAAATAACATGTGGCAAATAACATATATGTCATGATAATATTATCAATAATTTAAGGATAAATTAGTAAATTTATGCACTTCTTATTTAATACATGTCATATGCATAATATATTTATGTGTAAATTCATAAAATATTTTATAGTATGAATATATAACTTAATAAAATAATAATTATATAGAAAATATATTAAATCATATTTGTAATATATAAAATATACATAACAAAATATATGTTCTTAGGCAGTAGTCCCCAACCTTTTGGCACCAGAGACTGATTTCATGGAAGACAATTTTTTCACGGACTGGAGTGGGGGCAGAGGGGTGGTTTGGGGATGATTCCAGTGTATTAAACTTATTGTGCATTTTATTTCCATTATTATTACACTGTAATATACAATGAAATAATTATACAACTCACCATAATGCAGAATCAGTGGGAGTCCTTAGCTTGTTTTCCTGAAACTAGATCTGAAGTGTGTTGCTTATGTCCAGTCTACTCTATAATCTCGTTTTGATTGCTGTCACTGCAGAAAACCTTGCTTCACAAAGTTAGGATATTAGAAATGAAAGCAGGCTTTTCAGGGCTTTTGTGGCAATCTCAGCATATTCTGCCTAGACTTTAATCCAGAATGTATGGAGATTTCAAGTTGTCTCAAACATACTTTTAAGGCCACTGTCATTTGTGATTTCAAGCAGTTGATCCTCTTCTAGCACAGAAAAAGTCCATTTACCTGGCTTTTTCACAAATTGGTAGTGGATCCATTCATTCCTTCCCAGTTTGGGGGTCTTCGTGTTTGGGAAGTACTGCTCAAACTCTGTTGAAAGCTAAGATAGGTGATCATGCACCAGCCGGGAGAAAGAAGGCCCTGATCTTTTTTGAGTATGCTCAAACCTCAAAAGAGGTGATATACTAAATGAAAGAAGAGAATAGTCTGTTTGCTACCCTGATTTATACTTGTCACTTTTCTATAATGTAGAGAAACCATGTGTTCACTGAGGCATAACTTCAAATACTAAGGCAAGAGGATAAAAGAAACAAAAAAGGAAAGAGAACTGTCTGCGAGTATCAGAGGCAAATTTCTGCAGTTCTTTCCAGTTGAATTTAGACATCAACTCTGGTTCTGGCATAAAAAATGTATGTCTTTTTTGCTATGCTCTTTTATTCCCTGTAAGATGTAATCCATTTAGGTTTGAAAATAGACTATTGTGTACATGGTAACTTTTATTCCATGACACAAACACAAACCAAAGTGCTTTTCTGCAATTGTCTAAGTTCATATTTAAGCAATTAGTCTAGACCATCATGTTCAGACTTCTATAACTCAGCACAACAGGATTTTTTTTTTTTTTTTGAGACAGAGTCTCAGTCTCACTCTGTTGCCTGGGCTAGAGTGCCATGGCATCAGCTTAGCTCACAGCAACCTCCAACTCCTGGGCTCAAGCAATCCTTCTGCCTCAGCCTCCTGAGTAGCTGGGACTACAGGCATGCACCACCATGTCCGGATAATTTTTTATATATATATTTTAGTTGGTCAATTAATTTCTTTCTATTTATAGTAGAGACGGGGTCTCGCTCTTGCTCAGGCTGGTTTCGAACTCCTGACCTTGAACGATCCTCCCTCCTCGGCCTCCCAGAGTGCTAGGATTACAGGTCTGAGCCACCGTGCCCGGCCATCAACAGGTTTTCTTTAAAGAGTAAATTACAATTTAAGAAGCTGAAAGTAAATTTAACTAGGAGAAAATCCTGAGGCTAGACAAAAAATTCTGGAATCCCAGTCTTTGTTCATACACAGGAGCTGAGAAACATAAAACCCACTTGGACTTGACTGATTCCTTCAGCTGAGGTGTCAATAGAGTGGAAAGGATTCCTAATTTGGGTTTTGTTTTCCCTCTCTAAATGGCAGTCCAAAAAGTGGTATAAGAATCATCTGGCACCTCCATTACAATGAGCAGCTTGTCCCCAGATACCCCTTGGTAGGATGTGTCACAATAACTTTGCACCCACAAATATGGCTTCAGAGTGGGCCCTTATTGAAATGGAGTGAGCCGTCACAGCTTGCCACAGTTAGCTACACCTGCAGGGAAGAGCTGGCTCTACTCCTCCTCCTCTTCCCCACCCACCCCAAACAAATGCTTCAGGCAGCTGCCACACTTGACTGCTGGCAGAGCCCAGGCTGGGAGTGAGTGAAGGGGAGGAATGAGGGGGACTCTGGGACTAAAGCATAACCACATTAAGAGATGAGTAAGTGAGCTAGCTTTAACTCTACCCCTAGTTTTCCTAGTAAAATAAAGACAATGGAAGGTATGTGGTCTGGACCTGTCTGTCCTCTCCCATG